CTTTGCATCTAGGTAGTATTTGGCTAGGTGTGGAACCGCTAACCACTCCCCTCCCCCCCCCCTCCCGGGACTTCGGGAGGTAGAGCGTACGTCTAGGAACTCTAGGTCGCCTGTCTCACCATATAAAGGCAAATATTTGGGATTGTAGTTTTTTGAGAGTAGGGCCAGGGATAGCGATTGGCAAGACTCTAAATAAAAAGAGGATCTTTGGCAATAAGGTCATCTTGACAGCGGCAATCCTGCCTAACCAGGAGAGGTGGTAGTGGGACCATGTCCGTAGCATTCGTGATAGCTTGGCCACCATCTCAGGGTAGTTTGCTTTATATAAAGAGTGGTAAGAATGTGTCAGCTTAATTCCCAGGTAGGGAAGGTGGTCAGTACTCCAGGAGTAGGAATAACTACTACTCAGGGATTCGACCAGTGGTGGAGGCAGGGAAATATTTAAAGCTTTGGACTTTGATTCATTAATACAGAGACCTGAGATAGATGCAAACTCCGATAGGAGTTCCGTGAGATTGGGCAGGGTGACTACAGGATTAGTTATAAAATATAAGGCATTATCTGCGAACATACAGATCTTATGAGATGTGCCCTCATGTTCAATGCCGGTGACATTTTGGGAGTTGCGGGGTTTCTGGGCCAGTGGCTCTAAAGCTAGGGCAAAGAGGAGAGGCGGTAATGGGTATCCCTGTCTGGTGCCCCTGAGGATTGGAAATGGTTGGGAGCAGAAGCTAGAGTATTTGATGCGGGTGGAAGGTTTGTTGTACAGGAAAGAGACCCAAGCTAGGAAGGATGACCCGAAGCCCCAGTGTCGCAGGGTATGAAATAGATAGGGCCAGGAGACGCTGTCAAATGCTTTTTTAATGTCTAGCTAGAGAAGCATGGTGGGGATTTGCTTAGTTCTTGCTACATGGGAAAGGAGGGTGATCCTCCGGATGTTATCGCTAGTTAAGTCGGTTGGCCAGGACCTTGGCTAGTAGTTTATAATCTACATTAAGTAGGGAGATCGGTCTGAAGTTTTAGTGTGATCAGAGGCGGGTTTAGGGATCATGCAGATCAACGTTTATTTGTATTTCTTATACCATTTAGATGTTGGAATGGCATGCTGATAGGGTGAGTTAGTGTCAAGGTGTTGGTATTTGCCTCCCCCTG